GGAAATTTATACATACAATTTATATTTGTAATGGTTCATTTTGATTTAATAAATAAACGACACCAACCTGATTGAGGAAAAAAAAAAATAACTTTTTAAATAAATAAATTTTAATAAATAAATTTTTTATCTTTAATTATAATTATTAATTAATTTTAATTAATTATTAATAGTAGTTATAATTTTATTATTATTAAAACTTACTTTTATATATTAAGTAGAATTATTATTCAAAATAAAAAATATATATATTGTAAAGTTTTTATTAAAATTAAATTTTTTTATATTTTATCAAATAAAAATTTAGATATTAGATATAATTTTATAAAACTTAATATTTAAATATATTAATATATATTGAATAAATTTTATTAATATTAAATTACTTATTAAAACAATAATTATAAAAATTAAGTAAGTGTTAAATTTTTGATAAAAAAATTTAAAAATTTATATTTAAAAAAAATATAATAATAAAAGTTTGTTTAAATTTAATAAAAAATTTTACCATAGATAAAATTTATTATGTAAAACAAGTTTATATAAGATATAAAAATCATTTTTATTAATAAAATAAAAAGCTCAATATGTGACAATTATTTTTGATTAATTATAATAATTTTTAAGTAATTCTTTATTTATTGAAAGAAACTATATATATATTTATTATACTTTATTGTTTTGAAAAAATAATTGTTTTTTTAAGATAGTTTATAAATATTTATATTTATTTAAATATACAATTTGAATAAATAGTATTGTATAATTACTATTGAATATTAAATAAAAGTTTTTATTATTAAATTATAATAGATTGTTTATTAAATTATAGAATTTTATTTTATTGAAAAATATTTTATTTTTTAAATATATATTATATTTATCAATTTTTATAGTTATTATTAGAATTTCAAATTAATATATAATAACTATATTAATCTTTTAAAAAAAATAAACCATAAATTTAATATTAATTTAATAATTCTGCTAAATTTTAATTTTTTATATAATAAAATAAATAAACAAAAGCTTATATTATATATAATACAATACATAAAAAAAAAATTTATATATTTATTTATAACTTAATAATCAATTACATTAGACTTTTATCAATATATTTTTTAATACTTTAAAAACAAGATTCTTATAAGTTATATATTGTATATAAATATAATAGTATGATTTGATTTTATTTTTAATATTTTGAAAATTGAAAAAACAAATCAATTCATGTTTTATTTAAATATATTTTATAATAAAAATACAGGTTAAAAAATTTGTAATAATAATGAAAAAAAAACAAACTTTTTTTTTATATTCTTTAATATAATAGATAAATAAATTTTTATAAAAATAGGTTATTAATTGATTTAATGAAATTGAAAAGAGAAATCAATTATTATTGTTATTATTATTAAAGAAATTTTCAATTTTCAAGTTAAAATTAATAATGGAAAAATTATAATAAAATCAATAAATAACTTGATGGTTTTTATTTGTTTCATCTGAAAAAAAACATATTTATAAAGTTTTATAATAGTTAAATAATTTTTGTGTTGATTTATTAATAAAAAAATTGGTTGTTTTTTTTTTGCACCATACAATATATTATTAAATAAATTATAAAATAAATTGGCTGGACCTTTTGTTTCGATAACTATTTAAATTGGATTATTGATTTTAATAATGATAATGATGATGATAAAGGGTTGTACAAGTAAAGAATATTTTACAACAATTTATTGGAGGGGTGTATAATAACACCTCATATCGTATGGCGTTTAGATAGAAGAATGTTACAGGGGTGAGATTTTTTCTTTGTTCAGTGATACCATTTACTTTTTCGTTATGTGTCACAGAACGATAAGGGATAATCACTCGAATTTTAAACTTGGTCTCTCAATTTCAGATGTTTCTTCGTCCGTTATCTAAGTTAACCTATGGAATTAGTTATCAGTCTAATGCAAAATTTGTAAGCCAAAGCCAATCTTGGTGTTTAATCTTCTATGTCAATACTTGTAGATTAATAACCGTAACAATACCTTTTTAATGCTCCAAATGAAACAGTCGGTTTCACGATTACTAATTGAATTCCGAATGCCGGATAGTTGTGTACGCTCTCGTACGTTTCATAGATCTGCGTGCATGATGGTTGAACAATCAAGAGGAGGAGAAAAGTTCAAAGGAGAAGAGAGACGGCAACGTAATGTAATCTTGCCGGTAACACCGGTTTCAGAATTAAAGGATAGACCATTCCCGAAGACTGCAGCTTGTTTAGTGATCGGTGACGAAATTCTCAATGGAAAAACTGTAGACATAAATTCGGGATTTTTCGGTATGGAAAGAAATTAGTGACAATGAATTTTTCTCAAGTGACTTTAATTAACGGTCGTTCGATTTAGTCAAATATTGTTTCAATCTTGGAATTGACGTCAAAGGAATAGAGGTCATCCCTGATGAGGAAGAGGTACAAAACCTTCCATAAATCCCTACTCTAAGGTTTTTGGTCAAACACATTTATCACTATTGTCAATTACAGATTATCATTGAAGCAGTTAGACGTCTCAGCAGTAAACACGACTTCGTTGTTACTAGCGGGGGAATAGGTCAGGGTCGTTTCACATGTGAATTCAAGTAATCACTGCAATATAAAATATTCGATATTCAAAATAAAACAATTCCAGGGACCACACATGATGACATTACCTATCCGTCAATAGCACGAGCGTATGATCTCCCGCTAAGGTACCATCAACCAACACTGGATCGCATGAGGAGCATGACGAAAGGCAGTCAGTTAATGCAATACGAGTCACATAAACGCATGGCTCTCTTTCCCGATCGGTCGCTCGTCATATTCCCCAGCGAAACTTTTTGGGTACCGATAGTCATTGTTAACGAGAACGTTCACATATTACCGGGAATACCTCCGTTGTTTAGAGCTCTTTTATCGGGATATGGCAGATATCTTCAAGGAAGGGAAAGATTCGTTGCGAAATATGTGAAAACGTATAGGATAGAACCACAAATTGCTCCGATGTTGGCGTCGGTTCAAAAAAAAGTAGAAAGTCTCGGAATCAAGATAGGCAGCTATCCGAAGTGGAAAGGGAGGATGGTAGTAGTGAGCTTATTGTCGAAGGAGAACAAGCGAGAGATTATGGAAGAATTGGCCAGGGAAGTAGCGGAGAAGGTTGACGGAGTTTTAATTGATAATTTCGATGAAGGTGATGATGATGATGATTTCAAGCCCATATCACCAGACCCGAATGTAACATAAGAGGACAACCTTAGACATTTATCACTTTCAAGAAATAGGTCTTTCTGAACTTGTGCTTTTATTTGTTCATTGTTATTGTTTTTTTTTTTCGTGACCAAGGCAAAAAAAAAAAGTTATCTATCCTTTAAAAATAAAAGAAAATGAATAAATGCAAAATGTGAGCTATGTATACATGCAAAAAATGAGTGTGTGATGTAAGAACATCTATTTACTATATTTACTAATATATGTGCAAAGTAATTTTTTTCAAGAATTTTTTATGGAGGGGGAAAAGCGTTTTTCGTGAAAGCCGTCATTATGATGGAGGGTAAACAGGGCATATAAAATATCAAGAAGTCTACATATAAATTAAAGCTATACACAAAAAAAAAAAAAAAAATGTAATGAAATGAAAAAAAAAATATTTCAAAAGTACAAGGTGAGGTTGATGTTCCCCCGTGTCTAAAAGTATCGAGAAAGAGAGAAAAAGAAGGAGAAGTTTCTCCACGTCTAAGAGATAGGTATATGTGATATATATATATATATATATATAGGTAGATAGGTATGTGTATATGTATATAATGTTATGGTGAGGAGATAAAAGAGTGACTGTCAAACATGCATGCGAGCTCTTTTTTTTTTCACATGCATGAATTTGGATAATACATGAAATAAATAAGTAAAAAATATGACATAGAAAATGAGTTTAATTTATTTAACACAGATACCAATGAAGTTAATATGAATTATGAACGATGCTTTGAATGTGTTTTATACATGCGTGCTAAAAAATATTACGACCAATAATTTACACCTGTTCAGAATTCGAATTCGGAAGATAATTTAACTCGAGAATCGAATTCCGTTTTCCATTTAAAGATTTCATGTCGATCTTGTAATCATAATCCACTTCCGACGAGTTTGTACTACCAGCAAATGCCGATTGATCGTCGGTCTTTGTCGTGACTATGGTGCTCACGTTAACCACGGTCGTCGGACTTCTGGTCACTGCGGCCCGATGATCGGTGACCTCATGCGCCGTGCTAGATTGCGTTGACGATCCATCATTCGAGCTCGGTAGCTTTCCGGTGTAATGCTGGTAGACACGTTTCGCCAACACGTACTGCACCACGACAATCAGGGGTTGCACTCCGGCGATGTGCCACATGAACGACAAGAACAGGTTCACTCCGTTGATTGAGGAGATGATACGATCATGGTAGATTCCGTAAATTCCCCACCATGGACCGGAGATGAGTGGTAACACGGCGATGTAGGTCATGGTGTACTTGAGTCGGTCGAGTGCCTCGCGTGTACCATTCTTGGATCGGTGATAGGAGGTGGAGGAACGATTGAACTGTTTCATGGAGCTTCTGAGGATTAGCATAAAGTTTATTCCATAATATGCACCGGACAATGCAAGTATGGTATCGTGAATGAAGTAAGCAATGTACTGAGCGCTGGTCCATCGATTTGCAGCGGTGATATCACCGTGATCCCGGGAGATTCCGGAAAGAATAGAGAAAGGGAAGACAGTTAGCGTGGGATACAAACACCAAATGGCAAGCAACCAGTTTAGTTGTGTAGGAGTTGGTAAATAGATGTCTCGGGAAGTAGAATATTTTTGAGGTTCAGACTTCTTGCTTTCAATTTTTATAACGGCACGTGCCCCGTGTGTGTAGTTTGCAGGAATTGTGTATATGATTCCTGAGGTGAAGAAAAAGAGTTGGGTTAGGGATGGATGGCAGTTTTACTTTGCGAACAAGTCAAGTCATTGAAATGTCTCGATAATTACCAACAATATAGCAAACCGCACCGTAGCAGAGTATGGTCCATCCGCTTTCTTGCATCATCTCACGTTGCCAATAGTGGGTGTACACATTCAGCAACATAAACAACGAGTGTAAGGTCCGGAAATAACACCCAATGGTCCAAAAGAACAATAAACAGTCGACGGGTAACGGACGTATACCATTTCCATGATCGACAAACAACCCTTGCCACATGTACTTGTAACGGTATAAGAACACGAAGGTGCCAGAGAAGGAAAGGAGGGCGTAGCTGACTAGTGATATGGTCACCTCAGTGACCCATAGTTCGGACATCACACATCCGTAGAGTTCGACGCGCCAGTCACAGAAATTGGGCGTGGTGGTGGTATCGTTCATCACGATTATTGGTTAAAGGGAAGGTTCGACTTATGGTGAATTAAGCAAACGAATGAAAAATGACAAAGGTATTTTTTTTTTTTTTTACGATAAAAGAGAACCAATGGTTAAAGAAAGTAGGTGATATACTGTATGTCTATAGAAGAATTTTGAAAATTTTAAATAAATAAATAAATAAATAAATAAATAAGAAATTCTAATTTCTACGTTTGTCACAGCTGATGAATTCAATGATAACGAGGGATGAGTTCATGAATAGAGTATTTCAAGGAACCGGACGAGAGGTAAGGCGGAAAGGGAGGTCAGAGGTCAGAGGAGGAAGTTCTGGACAAACAAGATATTCCGAATTAATTCTGAAAAAGGGAAAACGAAATGGTTATATATATACATAATGAATAGTACAAGTGAGACAAAAAAATTTTTAAAGTTGAATCTTTGTAAGCAAGTATAAAGAGACTTAAAGTGTACACACAGGGTATATAACGACGATCCTTTTAGTGTACCCCCGTGGCACGTAAATAATAAGACGTTGTAAAGTAACCTTTGTTGAGGAGAGTAGGCGAGTTAATAGGTGAATTTCAATCTTAAAGAATATGAAAAAGAAAGAAAAAAATAAAATAAAATCAAAAAACAAATAAATATAATAATTACAGTATATATATATATATATATGAGAGCATACGAAGAAAATTTAAATACAAGTTCCCAAACGATACGTTGCAACTATTTCTTCCAATCAAGATGATGTTCTCGTTAAGGTAATAACTAATGCCTCATTTAAATGATGACTTCTTTAAGTCAAAATAAAATGAAATTCGTAAGTTACGTACCTACCCAAATGGGATGAGACAAGGAAATATGCGTGGAACTTACACGAAATCCTAGTGGCAGTGCAACGTCTGAATATACCGATCGAATTCTTTTCACGTGGTGAAAGTTGGTTTGTGAAGGAGATGATATGTGTGGGGGATGAGTGATTGAGGAAGGTGGTACGCGTAACTTGAGATTAACTTTGAGCGAACGAGAAAGCACGATCGAAATTGGACAATATTCGTATATGCAAATTCCTTCGTTTTAAGTGAATGGGAGGAAAGAAACTCTGCCTTATTTGTACTTTTTTCTTTCCCCCCCGATTTTCACTCTTGTTTTCAGAAACAGGAATGTCGAGATTCCACTAATTCGTTTCATTCCTCCTGAATTGCTGCCGATTCGGTGCTAGTTAATTGTGTTCTCGCGTTCAACCTAACTCTATCTCTTTTGAACATTAGAATCATCGTTAAGATAAAAAAAAAAATACCAAGAATAAAAGATTTCCATAATGCGAGTATTACTGTTCGACGATTTTGGTTAACAAAGCAAATGCACTCATCTTTCCTATTATAGTAACGATAATGGTCGAACCTACTGTGTTGCCGTCTATAATGACCAAATTAATAATAATGGGCGGTGAATATCACCACACACCCCGTCGTGGTGATACGTGGTCACATCAGGCGCAAGTTTGTACACCTGAGCAGGCTAAAAAGCATGAAATTACGTATTTCGTGAGACTCGATCGATCATCATGTAAAAGGTGTTATGATTTTTATGTGTAGGTTACGCTCAGGTATAAAGATTTTTTTTCATTAGTCAAAAATTCATTGTCATTTTCCTTCTCTTAAAAAGTGGCGCCACTCAAATAAAATTTTATCGACGTATAACAGTTGTGTAAGTTCGAAGAAGAAACATCTATCTTGATGAATGCTGTAAATGCTATGCTGAAAGATAACATTGAGGGTAACACACAGTCCTTTTTAACACAGTACAAATTAACAATGCTCATAACTCGTAACCCTATTCCATAAAAGTCGGGCGGTGAAAAAAAAACCATTATTTAAACGTGCAGCTCATTTTGCTAAATCAGTCAATTGGTGTCACCTAATATCAACCAGCACCCACTAATAATTTATACTAAACCTACTTTATCCATTCACTCTTGTATCCCAAATATGGCCCATTATGTAATAATCTAGTTCGTTATTGGTTGCAATCATAAACTGTCTTTGTTTCGTTTTCATTACCAAATTGTTCATTTCCGATTATCATGTGTTCCGTGTGTTTTTGGTAAGTGTGACCATAAATATTATCATGTGAAACTTGATTAAAAACTTTTCCTGATATTACCTAGTTTTTAATGTTTATTTTATGAACGAATGCCATTTGGTCAAACCAAATACTGTATGCTAGTTTTCAACTACTTTGAATTTTTTTTAATCTATCCAGTGAATATAAAGAATTCTTGATTTATTGGTTCTTGACATTTATGCTCATTATCTCATGATTGATGATTTGAGGTTCCCCCATTGTAAAATATGCATGACATTAAATTAAAACTTTCGCGTGTGATTCGGAAAGGGTTAAGACGCGATTTTCCGAATTCGGAGTGCCAAGTTCAAATCTCCAAAGACTTGCCAAACTAATAGATTCACTGGATTTGGGATTTGTCTGACAAAATTTGCGTAAAGTACCGTAATTATGGTTAATTCCTTTTGCAAGGTGGAACTTTTGAGAAACGAAACGATGTGAATTCCCGTAAACGGTCACAAGGAATTCCTAAAGTTCCCATCTCCTTATTTTAATTGGTATTCTTGTACCTTGTTCAATAGATCAAATGCCTTTTCATTTGTGTTATACGCGTGCGTGTCCAAGGCTTGTACGCACACGCATTGCCGTCCATCAATTCACGAACTCAAACTTACATGCCGTAAGAGCGAATTTTACGTTTTTTCATTACACAAAATCTTTAAGTTACATGAGATTAACGCGCTCCAATTCGGAAAGTAAAGGTGAGTGCGCATATCGGTTCTGCTAATTCGACGTTGAAATGACCGCTTTCACGTGCACGTGTTTGCATTTCCTCTCACCCGAGTTGCCAATTACGCGATTTACTTGTTCCGAAAGTGTTGTCTCATTAGAACGAAAAACATGCTTGCTTATCATAAATGAAAATTGGACAAATATAGATGATAAGACTTGGCTTAACCCGAGAGGATGAGTTCTTACATGAAAAAAAAAAGATGAGAAAAAATTAAAGGGTGCACACAAATAACTCGTATACATGTCAGCAGCATATTTAAAGAAACGAAAACATCGACTATTAAGGATTTTATCAATGCAGGTATTAAAGGGTCACCCTTTAAAGTTTAAATTAAGAAGACAGATTAAATCATGGTTCAAATTAGGAAAACAAATAAATCCCAAGTTTATCTTAAGCAAACAAATACACACCTGTCAAAATACCGGGGTGGCGATCACTTACAGTACCATAATAGGTAATTCATTCCCCCGTTTTACAAACTTAATTTCCGAGATCATCATCGTCTATAATAAGTTGGTCATACAATTCATTCACTTAATAGTAAATATTTTAGGGTCTATATGATACTGTTATGATTGCAAAATATTGTTTTGTTCAATAAAGAAAGTATTATTAATCATCAGGCACCTAAATAAATGTCAATTGTCGAAAAAAATATATTAATAATTCCTCAAATCGCAAACTCGGTAATGTTCTTTAAAGAAAATTGGATAAATCACATTCCAATTAACGTTATGTTGGACACTCTGTAAACTTTTTGATTGGTTTCTGTTTCGGGCGTCATGATTTTTTGATTGGTTTTCTCTGTTTCGATAACTTAATTCGATTAATTTGATAACCTATCTAGATAGAAACTGTTAAATTATTGAAAATACGTGCAATATACTGTACGTACGTATCTTGTAAATAATGTACAGTATATCGTGTATATCGTGTATATCGTATATACCGGATGTCAATTAATTTATTTATTATGGTCAGTATCATTCGATTTTTTTTTTTTAATCTTTAACAATCATTATTTAAAAATTATAAAATAATAAGAATAACTATTTTTTTTTAAAAAAAAAAAGAATGAAAATAACCACTTGATTCAAATAAAAATACATACAGTATATACCCTCGATAATTATAATTGGGGGTTTTTTTTAATGCCACAATTAAGCATGAGATCTCCAAACACAATTTATAAGAAATAATATAGCGTTCATGTATTAAATAAAATCAAAAATTCTTTTAATATCTAATAAGATTATTACTACTTGTAAATTATTTTTACAAATTATATGCTATCAATTCAAATTATATTATAATAAAAACAATTGAATCTAATCTAAATACATCTTGTATGAGATAAATAAATAAATAAAATATAAATTTGTTACTATACTTCTATTTTGTTACTTATAATTAATTAATAATTTTTTTTGTTTAAATTTAAATAATTATTAAATATTTTAATTTTAATTTTTTTTTTAATATTAAAATAAAATATAAATACATTTACAGTTAATTATAAGAATATCAGATACAGTATATATTTAATTTATGTAACATTGATTTATTATTTATTGTAATAGATGTATTTTAATATCTTAAATATACAAAAAAACTCTCATTTATATATTAAAACATTATCTTGTTTAATTAAAAGGATTTTAAAAACAATATTAATTAATTAATTAAATATAAAAATATTATTTGAATATTGTATTATTATACAGTATATATCAATTAAAATTGTAATTAAAATAATTTAATTATATTTTAAATAATGGTTTTTTAAAAAAAATTTAAAATTATTTGTTATTTCAAAACTAATCTTAATCAAAAATACTTTAAAATACTAATAAAAATATCTTGATTTTATTAATATTATTAAAAAATCAAAAATAAATTATTAAATCTTTATAATTAAAATTTGTTTATTAAAATAAACAATATTTTATTAATATAAAAAAAATAAAAATAAAAATAAACAATTACTAACTACTAGTTAAATTATCAACTATATATATGTATTTTATAAATATTGATAATAAGGAAAAAATATAATGTTTGGATTTTGAATTATAATTTGAACCTGTATAATCATATACTATACTGGTCATAAGTAACTGTACACCTCTAATTTTCCGAAAAA